TTGTTTCTTCGAGAAGCTCCGAGAGGGATGACTTGGCTGTTTCCCGCACAGGCCTCAGCGCCTCGATAAACAAGCTCTTAAGTTCTCCTGTCTTCGAATCGACGCGATAAGACATCGCAGTAACGATTTCGATAATCTCAAAAGCCAGAAAACAGTCCGTCATTAGGTTGGCTCGGATGTAGTGATTGAGCTCACGAAGGGTCTGCGAATACTCAGTCAAGGCCGAGCGACACGTCGCTTGCAGAGCCAGACCACGCTCTCCTCCAGTGAATATCCTCACAATCATATCGTGTTCCGTGTAGATGAAGCTCTCCAAGGCATTGGAGTAGATGCCGATACCATTTGTGCCTTGACGGTAAGGACCGTCCGCAGCTCTTCTCTTGACGGTATTCAACGACGCTATAGCAAGGTTCTGCAAACTTGCCGTTATATATGGTCCACGTAAATCGGTGTATATCTTGAGCGCGGGATTCCCGCCGTCTCGCTGAGGCCCATAGCTTGCTGCAGAGGCGATGGTGGCGCACACGGGTCCTAATTCGGTGAGGACGTCGTCCGGGAGTGAGGGGAACGGGAGCTCTAAACGTAATGAATGTCAGCTTTCTTTCGTCCAGCGGGGCTGTCAGATGACCGCATACCTTTGGTTAGGTAGTGTAAAGGCTCGATGGCACCGACATTCTCGCCTAGCCGGCTGCGGAGCAAGTCTTGAAGTTGGGAATTGCCGAGGCTCAGTAAAGAGTTGAAGTCCGTGATTGCTTTCTGGTTGGATCGCAGATTGGTCGAGTTCAAGTCCGCGAGCGCCTTTTCCACACGTCTCACGGCCGAAAGATATTGCGACACTCCGACACTCTGAGGGCTTCAGGGGGTCAGCAAAATGAAGACAGCCGGTGGCAGTGGTGTTAACGGAGGGGGCATACTCGGAACGGATAATGCCTTCTTCTTGTCCCTTGGCATTGAGGGGTTGGCGCAGGCGCTCAATAGCTTCATTGACTTTTTCAATGTTGCTGTTGGTGATCTGGAGGGATTGGGTATTACTGTAGATAGGACCGATGGCATGCTTGACCACGTTTCCGCCGGTTTCAAGACGCACCAAGGAGCCCTGGATTTTCTTGGTGAGGAGCTTCAGCTTCTCAAGGTTGGCGTAGAGGACCTCGACCTCTGCACTTTCCTCAGCGTATGCGGCGTTCCTTGGGGCGACCATGGCGAAGGAGGACTCGATCGGCCGGTCCCACCGTCAACATCAGACAATCAGGGATTCGTAAATGAAATCGACTATGCAAGAACGGAGAGACGTCATTCCTCGCTCATTCGATGCGATAAGGGATAACAAGATAATTGAGGGGGAAGGGATATTAGATGAATAGGCGACACGTCAGAATGAAGAGCTGACCAACGAGGCACCTGGCCTCATGAAACAAGCATGACAGTTGGTTTAATATACCTCCAAGAGATGAGTGAGAGTTCCGTCCCGAGTCCCCTTCTTCATCTGCCCCGGACGGACACCGGGCGCATTTTGCTTGCTTTGCTCTGCTTTGCTGCGGGACTCCGCAATGCGCGCTTGCCTCGATATGGTAGTTTCGGCCCGTCTTGCGTACCGGAGTTTGGCTGAGCCCCAAAACTGATGCATCACATGATATGATGTAATGGTAATGGCTACATTTCCTCGACCAGCTCGAATCCGTCGGAATGAAGAAATGGAATTTGCTTAAGTAGTACCTGATCGTCGCGGTCTGGATCTTTCCCCCCCCCCTCCCCCGTTATGGACTTCATCATTGCATGCTGCCCGCCACTGCTCCTCTTATCCTACGGAGTACCCATCTCACCATGGGTGCTGCGAAAGCATCGCGCTTGCATTGGACAATTCCTCCTACCTTTCTAATTGCCCTGGGCGGCGGGGTACTCTACGTCGCCGGTGGTCGATACCTCCCAAATAAGCAACTATTACTACAGGCCGAGCCGAGAGCCCTCTTTTCTACCACCTCTTCCGTCTTCGCGGACAAAGATTCGAAAAAGACCTCGTCACTCAGCGACTACTTGCCAGGGCATGGCTCGAGACAAGACGCGCATCATGAAGATGCGGGGTCAATTTGGACCAACATCTTGGGGAAGTTCGAGGGCGTCAAGCTATCAGTGGGCACCCCAGACTGGATTGAGCTAGAGAACCTCAAAAACTACATCATTCCCGACTGGACCCGTCTGCTACCCGCATCAATGCAGAAGCTCCAACGGGAGCTATCAATGGCCCCTGGCTCTCTTGCCGACGAGATCTGGAAGGAGGCTCATGATCCGGATATCAACCCTGAGATTCTACGAAAGGCAAGAGTCCGGGTCGGGGATAGTCTGTGTGATGAAGAACTGGTGTACAGAGAAAGACGACGAAACTACGCCGTAACAGCCCTTGCGTCCTATCTCAACATCAACGAAGAGGACATTCATCCCGACGATGTCCCTACCATAGCTATGTGTGGCTCGGGAGGAGGTCTACGTGCGCTTGTCGCCGGCACAGGCTCGTACCTCGCGGCCCAAGAAGCCGGGCTCTGGGACTGCGTGACCTACACCGCGGGGGTGAGCGGAAGCTGCTGGCTACAAACATTGTACCATTCGTCTATCACGGGGCGTAATTTCAACAAGCAGGTTGATCACCTGAAAAATAGGCTGGGAATCCACTTAGCGTTTCCTCCGGCAGCACTTAAGCTGCTCACCACCGCACCCACCAACAAATATCTGCTGAGCGGATTGGTCGAGAAGCTCAAGGGCGATCCCGGCGCCGACTTCGGTCTGGTCGATATATACGGCATGCTATTGGCTGCAAGATTGTTAGTACCCAAGGGCGAACTGGGGGTTTGTGATCGAGATCTCAAGCTCTCCAATCAAAGATACAACCTCACCAATGGAGCGCATCCACTTCCTATCTACACTGCTGTCCGCCATGAGATCCCCATAGTCGAGATCAAAGATGAAGACGGCAAACATCCCAAGCCTGAGGATGTCATCAAAGAATCGAAAAATGAAGCTTGGTTCCAGTGGTTCGAATTCACGCCGTACGAGTTCTTCTGCGAGGAACTCGGTGCTGGCATACCGACCTGGGCATTGGGGAGACATTTCTACGGTGGTGCCAACGTCAAGCGTGAACAGATATCCCCCATCCCCGAACTCCGCGTTCCGGGATTAATGGGCATCTGGGGTAGCGCTTTCTGTGCCACTCTATCTCACTATTACAAAGAGATCCGACCCGTGGTGAGGGGCATTACTGGATTCGGCGGCATCGATTCCTTGATTCAGGGCAAGACGAAGGACCTGATCCGGGTTCACCCTATTGACCCAGCCGCGATTCCGAACTACGTCCTAGGAATGAAGGACCTCTTGCCCGCTTCATGTCCGGACTCGATCTTTCAGAGCAAGCATCTCCGTCTCATGGATGCAGGCATGAGCAACAACCTCCCCATCTACCCGTTACTCCGACCTGGTCGGGAGGTGGACGTGATCATTGCCTTCGACGCCTCAGCCGACATCAAGCGCGAGAACTGGCTCTCCGTCGTAGACGGCTACGCTCGCCAACGAGGCATCAAGGGCTGGCCGATCGGCGCCGGCTGGCCGCGCGAGAGCGAAGAACCCAAGATCACCGAGGAGACTCTCCGCGAGCCGCAAAACATCTCCGAGGACGAGATCAACAAGAGGATGAACGCGGCGAAAGACAAGACCTTTCAGCCCACTTCTTCTCCAACATCCTCGTCGGATAACACCCAACGGGGCATCACGCAGGACGAAGATCCCACCGCCACGCACCCGACCCCCAGCCAAAGCACCGACCTGGACTACTGCAACGTCTGGGTCGGCACGAAACAAGAGATGGTCTCCGACCGCGAGCCCCCGCCCTCGAAACGGCTCTTCCAGCCCCGCCGCCACACGAGCGACGACGGCGACCACGCCGACGACCACGCCGATTCCGACTTCCACCTTATGCGACCCGATGCAGGCATCGCCGTCGTCTACTTCCCCCTCCTCCCCAACCCATCCGCCCCGAACCTCCCGTCCTCCTCCTCGCTGAACCCGTCCCGCACCCCGACCCACCACTCCGAAAGCACCACCTCCGCCAAGGTCTCCGACCCCGCGAAACCGCTCACCCCGTACCCGGGCTCCATCAACCCGGACGTCGACGACTTCCTGTCCACCTGGAACTTCGTCTACACGCCCGAGCAGATCGACTCCGTCGTCGGCCTGGCCAAGGCCAACTTCGCCCAGGGCGAGGACCAGGTCAAGCGCGTGGTCCGGGCCGTGTACGAGCGCAAGAGATCGGACCGGCTACGGCGGGAGGAGCAGGAGCATCGGCAGCGGCTGGCCGGGTTTGTTCCCATCTAGAAAGAATTTCTTTTCCCTTCAATATTGAACCAAATCACTTTCCTTTGTGTATGATGTCATCAACATACTCAGTAGATGATGAGGAAAAGAAACCCCCTTACGAACGGGCGTTCAAGCTTGGAGTTTGCGCATCTCAGGAATAATGGATTATGATTGTCACGGGAGGAATAGGGGAGTTGCATATACTACTACCACGCACACTTACTTGGTTCTTGGCTTCCTTATTTGTCTCGCAATATCTGTTTCTTGATTCCCTATGTCCGGCAGACTGCCTGTTGGATCCGCCAGTGTACAGTACATAAGCTGCATTTTCATCTAGCTTAGAAAACCTTCTTCTTCCATATCCGAGCGTTATGCCTCTTGCTGTGTATGTATGTATGCAAGCCAGACAGGGAGGGGAAGCCGATTCCACCAAGCTTCCGCAATCTCGAACAATTATGGAACACGCAGTGTGTGTATGTATGTACAAAACAAAACAGAATGAATATAACAGAAAAAGCCAACACGGGGTATAAGAAGGGTAAAGCACCATTTATCCGTATACTTACTTCTAATAGTTTCCCCGAAGAAAACAGACAGAAAGGAAACGCTGAAGCATGATTATCGACCCAAGAGCCGGTTCCCAAAACATGCGAGTCGTGGGACTTTTCAGACGATAGGGAGGAAGAAGATCAAGTTTACGGTAATCTTCACGTCTTCTTCGTCGTCTGCTTCAACAACTCTCCTTCCCCGGACTCTCGCACCTCATCCTCACTCCCGGCTAGACTGACATCCTTACTCTCGTCTGTCTGCTTCCGTAACCCGAGATGTTTCCCCCAGTCCTGGATCGACGCTGCGGCTGTGGCCGTCAGCTCCGCGGCCATGGAATGGTCCGACGCCATCGAGGATTTGTGTCCGTGCTTGTGTTTATGGTGGCCGTGGTCCTTTTTAGAGGAGGAAGAGGAGCTCGGGTTCCTTGAAGCACTACCACATTCGGCGGGGTCCAGATTCTCCTGTTGGTCGGAGTCGGTCGCATGGATGTGCCAGTCCGGGGGTTGGGTTTCGGGAGCTGGCTCACCAGGTTTGGGCTCGGTGATGGGTTGGCCTTCGTCCACGGTGGTGGCTCCGTTGTTGGTCGTATGGTCGATGCTACTCCTCTCATCACTGCCGTGTTGCTTGGAGGGAGCGTAGCGCCAGACGACTTTGACGCGGTCGAGGGCCTTGACGCCTTTGCGGGTGGTACCCTTGATGCCGTCCAATGCGTCCCACTCGCTTGAAAATACCCCGGAGTCGTGCTCATGGCCGCCCTCGAAGTAGGCGTTGAACCAGACGTGCGCGATTGAGGTGACCATCGCCCAGCCTGTGTAGGCGGCCTTGCTACGGCGTTCGAAGTCGATATTCACGTCAGAGGTGGGGATGACGATTGGCTGCCGGGGCCGGAAGATGGCGTTGGAGATGTGTTTGATTTGGTTGTTCTGGGGTTTGGCTGACGTTGAACCTGTTGATGAAGATGTTGTTGTCGGTGTCGCGGAATCGGCCGGGTTTTCGGGGGTAGAGGTACCTGTCGGGGATGATCCTTCGGGGCTACCGCTGTTGCTGTTGTTGTTGCTGCTCCCCTTCTGCTGCAGCGGGTGCGCGTTTTCATTCTTGCTTTCGGAAAGTGTCACATTCACGTCGTCTACGACCGTGCGCTCGGTTTTGTGGAATCGATGGAACTTCTTGATCTTCTTGCCCTGGTCGACATAACCCTCCACGGCGACCTTGACCCCATCTCGGAGGCCCCAGACATGTACCTCAAGGATCTCAACCGGCCGTTCAATGTACTTCTTTTCCAGCTGATTCGACCACCGATCGACGTACCCCACCCAGCGCATCTGGCTAGGTATGCTGACACCGGCACCGAACCCAACCCTCATGCGGCGCTCCGTGAACCGCTGCAGTGCGTCCTCCGCCTTCCATCCCTCCTGGCTGATCAGATAGCTGCAGGCGACGGTCCCACTGCGGCCCTTTCCCGCCTTGCAGTGAACGACGGCAACCCTGTCGGGCTTGTTGTCACTTTTCAGTTTGTTTGCAGACTGAGGATCATCCAGTCGATGGATGTAGTTGCGCATGCTCCCCGTTATGGCGGGAAGGAGAGCAAACGGGGGCGGGTGGTGGTCCGGCCATGGGTAATGATGGATCCGGCCATATACTTCCGAGTCGGGGTATCCCGTGCCCTCCGCACGGAATTCCCAAATGCACCAGTCGCTGCCGTGCTTGGAGTCGAGGAACTTGACCAGTTCGTCAAGGGGGTTTCTGTATGCGCGCTGCGGGTAGTTGGAAGATGGACCGGATGTTGCGATCACTGCGGTGCGGAGAAGGAGTTGGTCATTAGTCGATGGAATCTCCAAGGAGGTTCAGGTGTAGCATACAGTTGTCCGTCACGTAACAGAGATCCAAGCCTGCTTCGGGATGCTGCTGTCTAGGACCAGCGACAATCTGTCGTAGGATCGACGCCTGCGACGGGAAATTATGTCATGTCAGGTCCCGTGTTGGCATGCCAGGGGTGGGGGAGAGAGGAAGAAAGCTCAAATCCAAGCTGAGACGTACCATGAGATTCTAAGGGAAAGTCTACGTGCTGCAAATGAAGGGTCCAGTTCAAAGACCTATTCCTGGTGATATAGAAGAGAACATGCGCGTCTCTGGCCTGGTCATTGGCAGCGCAGATAATTAATGATGGATGAGGTAAAGCACGCACGGGCTTCAACCCGGTGATGATCTCCAATTTCTGGGAACCCAGGAGAGATGGAGATATTTGCGAATGATGACGGCTTCCATCCACCTAGTCCAAACAATAATGATTGCCACAGCGGAACGAACAGAGGCTGAGCAATTTCGGTGTGGAGGAGATGTGGAAGGAAGGAGAGCAACGGGTGATTGCAGATGTTGACGGCGATGATGATGTCACCGGAAATCCGACTTGCAGTGAACTGTCCCTCCCTACTCTACTCACCACTCCGTAATTCGCCCCTCATCAACATTCGGTCAATGCAACCAGTTAATTAATTGCCCACCCGAGTCTAAACAATACGGTGTCCATAAACATGGGACTTAATGCAGTATGAAATCACTTGAATTCTTTTCATTTGGTTGGTCATAACATTTGTCCTGCATTAGCCACTTTTTGCCCATCATGTAACCAGACATTATTAGGTAAACAACCCCTAACTTATCCCATATCAACAATACACAAATACCACACAAAGAAACAGACATGATAATCATATGATACAAAAACAGTTCGTATCCCACCCCTCCGTCAAATTACCCTCCGGAGGGTAACATCATCTTAAACAAACACCAGACAGGGCGGTGAGATTGGCTCATCTCCTACTTCTTTAGGCGACACCATACTCCTCGGTGACGGGGATTGTGAACCGCGGCGTCGACGAGGTGACATTAGTCTCTCCGAAAGCAAAGAACTCGGCATCGCCAGGGAGGATCCATTCGTGTTCAGCCCGGACATTCCACAGCGGATACGGCTCGGCTTTGACGCGGGACTTGATCAAAGGGTTCTGGCAGGAGACGAGGTCGTCGGAGCTGCTATCCGTGGTCGTACCAGAGCAGGTAGTATTGAAGCCAGGCGTGTTCTTGGTTGCCACACCGAGGATGTTGAAGTTGTAAACGCAGCCTCCCGGCGAGCAGCCGGTGGTGAAGTTGGAAACGTGCCAGGTCAACGCCGCGCTGTCACGGCGACTGGGATAGGAAATAGGCGAGGCAGAGGTAAGGCTCAGGGTGGAGAGAGCAAGCCCGAACAAGGTGGTGAGCTGCATGGTGGTGGAAGTAGAAAGTAGATCGGATGAATTAGGTTTGATCAGGTCGGTTTTAATTGAGTCCTTGCGCCTTGCGACAACGAGGTATGTATGTATGCAGGTGGGGTGACTTGATATGCTTGACAGGAAAGAGACAAGCACCAACTTCGATAGAAATTAAGTATTATCAGTAAGTACTGAGCGAGTCGGAAGATAGGTAGAGGAGGAAATGAGAAGATGGGTGGAATCGTGATGAAGAAAGGGGAGAAAGAAGAATGTAGCGAGCAGCGACGGCGACTTGATATAACCCCGGTTCTGCGAGAGCGACGGCGGCGTTGACCCCAGCAGGGAGGAGGAGCGCAGACGGACGGAGGGACCCTCGCCTCCGTCTGGAGCCGATGCTTTTCTTTTCTTAGAAGCTGCAAAAGCAATCCTGATGCAGCGGGAGAGCATTTCGACCCCAACAGTGGAGCGAAGCGAGAGTAGGTGAAACGAACCACTGGCCACAGGGAAACTCATTGGCCCGAGGGTGGCTGATCGCGCGGAATTTGAGCGAAGATCCCTTTGGTTGCCCATCTGCATCGAAGAAACGGCTTGATCTATGAGGAGTTTAGTGTGTGACAGACCATGGTTACACAACTGACGGTGAGAGAAAGTTGGTGCTTAACAAGCTGGATGAAGATTCGACCATGTTTCCATCCTCGTGTGGAAGTAAACCCCTGTGTATACCGTAAGTTTTCGTTATAGTCATACAGCATTGTACGGAGCTGCACAGTACATTCTCCAAACAGCTAAGCCCTATTGTAGTGAGCCAATAGACACCTGGAAGTATAGAGATTCGACCAACCCACCACAAGAGGTAAACAATAATTGTGAATAACTAGTACTAGGTAGACTATTCACTCTGTAAGTACGGAGTAGTCGGACAAGACATCAAACGGGTGGTCCCAGCGGGAACTCCGGGCGCAATCACCGGAGGTTTGACAATGCGACGCCCGCCGTCTCACATGCAAGCTTAATCCTTCGGCCTCGGCGAACTTCCCCCAATCTGCCAGTTTTCGCTCTCCTAAACCTGTTCCTAGTCCTTGTATAAGGTCTGTAAACTACTTCATATCCGGAATACCAGGCTTATTCCTATGTTTAGACTACTTGATCAATAGGGGTTGGGGTCTAGTATAGATTGGCTTGTTTCAAATAGCTGCTTGCTTGCTGCTATTCACATCTGGTGAAAGAATTCTTTGGTGACCTGACAATATTTGAGATTTAATCATCTCACCCTAAGTATTAAGGGAATAGCATACAGAGCATTTGAATTTGATTTATTGTAGGACTCCGGACAGTAGTTAATCGATACTTTGTACCACAGTAAATAATTATTCTATGGATCAAACTTCACTATTTGGATCAAATCCCAGAGACCATGGATCTCCAATGATTGAATCTTCTACTTACAATAATGATACGACTATGCACTTCTAGGTGGTGAATTTTGTTCATCTCAACAGTGAATCACTTTACTGTAGAGGATCTCCTCGAATCTGACGTCCTGGGGGTAGTTTTACAACATAGATTGGCCCTCTACCTCCACCTCTTCTCAACTCTCTTCTTTACAACTCCCTTACCTCTGACACAACGACCACACAATCCTCCTTCTTCTTTATAAGTCCCTACTCTCATCAACTAGCTGGACTGACAAGACTCTTTACTCTGAACCATTTCATAGATGACTCGTGGTTGACTGAACATCCTGAGGGCGCAAAGATCGATCTTCTTCTTGCACAATATCCCTTGGACGAACCTCGGTCACGACCAGAACAGCAGTATCCTGAGTTCTTTCAGGGCGTTCTGCTCTGCTCACCGGCAGTTCTGATGCTTTGTGGGCAAAGGCTACGAAAAGCCTCCATTTACGGCTCTAATCCTCCCCCCATTCCAAAAATGAAGCCTCTTATGCAGCTGCTGATGACCCTTGTTAGAATAATTTCTGACAAAATGTCACACAAGACCACACAAAGAACGATGACCCTGCGCGGAGGCAGAACAGCTTTCTTGGGGGCATCCCACATGGTGCTAGACGATGCACGAGTCCGATTAGTCGATGAGTATGGAGCCATAGTCCGAGAAAATGTGATTTGATTTCGGGATGGTTGCCAGCCGGCAAATGAGAAAACTCTGGCAGACGCAGCGAGAAGGGTTTAGTGCAGAGAAATGACATCCAGAGAGGGACTACAGAATCAACATCGGCGAATGGATGGCAATAAGAGCAGAGCAAGAACGGTACGCCTTATGTATGGCCGCAATCTCATGCGCAACTCAGCTGGCCCAATGGGACTACCACAGAAATGGACCGGCAAGCATCATCCGGGCTTGAAATCTCGAAGCTGCAACACTGGACCCAAATTGCGAAGGCTTTGTTTTGTGAACGATGCAGACAAGTTAGAGGAATGGCCAAGTTCTGACCCGTTCAAGCCCCATTTCCTCGAATTTGACTACAATGCCGTCTTGTCCGCGCAAGCAGCAGGCGAAACCATCACACGAGCCGAGACATTCAGAGATAAAAGCAGACCGATGCATCTTTGTCACTAACATGAATCGTCACGCCTCCTAGTACCAGCAATTACTTCTCCTCTGGGAAACATATTCCATCTTCATAGCAGACCTAACCATCTTCTATCAGCAACCCTGCCTTGTAACAGCGCGATCTATTGTGTTCAATGCTAGCATTATCTCCTGGTTTGAAGCCTCTGCAGCCGCTAATGAGCATTTGAGCTACTGCTCCTCGCAGGGCTGCAAATGCCTAAGAGGCACGGGGTCATGGCAGACCATACATAACCTTTGCTGCATTGCTGAGTCTGAACTCGGATTGAACCCAGCAAGACTGGGTCTATTGATGTATTTGCCAAACTTTTGCCATGACCCGCACCGACTGCAACGGAATTTTCAAGGGCAAATTGGAAGCTCGAATGGTGCGTACGCCTGATGTGGCGCATCTTCACCCTTGCGCGGAATTCACCATTTGAAGAAAGGGAAGACCCTCCTATATCTCACTAACCAAGAATGAAAGAGAATTACTGAAGCTCTCTCATCGAAGCTAGAGAACAATTCCCCAGGATCTCTCACCAAGCCGAGGGCCCCCCCCCCCCCCCCCCCCCCCCCGTCGTCCCCGTGTCTTTTCCGGTGATTCGATCTAGAAAACACAAACAGGAAGGTGTAAAGGCACTGAATGAACTTCCTACCCAAGGGCCTAAAGCTAAGAAGGGTAGACTACGGACTATCTTCCAGGTTTTGGCAATGACTTCAATGTGCATATCCTAACCCTATCATCAAAAATGGGCTGATGCTCTGGGGTTAGGACTCTGGCCCCTGAATACAATACTGATCGCAAGGACGGAGACCGGATCGAGCTTGACTATGATGCTGAATGTATGCGTGCACTGAGATCTCCCCCCGAAAAGCGGCAGTTACCACAAACATCGCATACAATGAACCTTGCTGAAAGATGGTGGCGGAGCAAGCTCATCGGTTTACCTTTGCTCAAAGTGTGCCCCGTCAACTCGGCAGAAGGTGCAAACGACGAGTCTGTGTGCGATAACTATAGAGGAAAAGGGGGGGACGAAGTGCCTGATGAGATCCCGGCCTGATCCAATCTAAAGACCTACTAAGCACATCGCGAGAGCAAAGTGTGCACCACATGCTTCCGCAGGCCTACAAGAACATCTGGAAATCCCGAGATAGCCGTTAAAAGAGCTGATGCCCTCGCGGCAAACGTGCCTGATCAGCCCTTCATAAGAGTTGCTTACCCTAACAGAGGAGCCGACCGTCACCGGTTTCTGCCGGCAACCATGGCAAAGATAACCTCGAATTACCAGCGAGAGAATCACGAGCAAGCTTGTTCTGCCATGGCATTGAAGACCTGAAGGGTACCTAACTTACAAGGGATGCGAATCCAGTATTCCCTCCGCTTTCGCAACTAGTGGCGATTCATGCTCTCAAAGAATTCGCAAATGATTCGAAATTTCACTGGGCCCATCGTGGCCGAAAAAGTCGGTCTTGTGAGAATGGATCGGAACCGGGTACCCTCCTTTCAGTAAGTCTCCCTCAAGGCCCTATGTAAACGGTCTTCGGGGGTTCCCCCTAGAGAAGTAACAAGCTTATAGGTTTATGGATGATCTTCAGAACGAAGGACATAGACTTAGGTTTATCGCTGAATATTCTCTTAAAGAAACTTAATCCACCGTGCTACGTGTGGTGTTTCAATTGCGAAACCCCTCACCTCCGCCATATGGTGTATGTAAATTGAGATGTGGGTAATCCCAGGCCTAACAGAACCGAAGCTGTACTGATTCTTATTGTTTAGCTCAGCTCTCTTACACTAGCGAACCAGCCATAAACAATTTCAACGAGCTCAACTCGGTGTCTGGGGAACGTCGCCACCAGCTTCTTAGACGATTCGAGGAAAAACCTCAGCGGCAGCCTGTCTCTTGTTTATGGTGGGCAGTGTTTCTATACAGTGATGTGGAGTTCCGACGCGTGGTGCGGAGGGCGGAGGGCGGAGGGCGGAGGACGACGACGGCTGGCAAGTCCTAGTCGAAGGCCCCATAAAGGAAACGCAATACATGTTGAAGCCGTGGGCTCAGATTTACCGTCCTGAACGTCCTGAACGTCCTGAACGTCCTGCACAGCCTGCACAACGTGCACGAAAACCTTCAGGGCAATCAGCTTCGGTGTCGGACCGCACCCCGCATGCGTCTATTCAGACCAAGAACGCGGGCATCCACCTTGTAGTCTGCCCGCCCCTGACGAAAGAGTATTTGAAGGGATATGGGATGTGCGGTGTGCATCGCACCGGCCCATTTTGTATCTCAGATACCGTAGAGGATACAACCATCCTCCTTAAGATGTTTGGGATGGCGTCAAGGAATAATAGATTTCTTATAATCATGACCCAAACAAAGGGGCTGGATGATCGAGCAATTGAATGTTATTACACTGCATGTAAATGACCAAGTAGTAAACTCAAAGTCTCCAAGCCAGAGAATTCATGAACACGAGTGTGCTCCTACTTCCCTCAGTCATCGAATGGTTGCTACTGTGTTGCTGTAGTTCACGCACCACAGTACAAGCGGCAGCAAGATGTTTAGTGTAGGTACAGTACAGTATAGCAGCGTCCGGATCCCGGGCTATTTAGGGCAAAAACGCAACTGCGAACACCGTCAGCACGGCACAGACCACGACCACAGGGTGAGCTCGGTAGCTATAGATTCATTTTCCGTCTAACGTACGCAATCTTGCCGGTGCTTACTCGCATGAGCTACCCCAGCCAGCCTCTTGCGGCCGTCATCTGGAAGACCAAGCTGTGGCTGTCATTACCCAACAGGCTTCATGGTGGTTCAATTCGTCGGAGGTCGGAAATGACCGACATTATAGTCCAATGGGGCCAAGGGGTTAGCCCCCTTCCTCTCTCCTCCTTTTTTTCATGCATTTATAGCATGTCTATTTAGTTGTACAGTACATGGTGAAATTGGAAAATCACCTTTTGTGTCGTGACCAGTCTCAATCCAACTTTGGATCGTCTCCTTTGCTGCTTGCCAGCTGATCCTCGGGAATAAGACCGCCCGGCTCGTAGTCCATCCAGCCTTCCTCCTCCTGTGCGCGCTGGATGGCTAGCTGCCTCCTCTTCCTCTTGCGCGCCTCCTTCGACGCTTGCCGACGCGCATTTTTCCACAGCTCCTTCGACTTCTTCGACCAGGTCGCTCGGACAAAGGAGGGTCGCCACGTCAGGGTGGGATATCTGGGGGAGTCCCGCCAGGGCACGTCGTCGGCGGGCTCTTGGCTCGGCCATCGCTCACCGCTATACTCATGGACAGCGTTGAGCTCGTCCACCAGGCACTGGACAGAGCCATCCTGGATCCGGGGGTGGCGCCTCAACTGGACCGCGTACGGGTCCCGGGAGTGAGAGCAGACCTCCCGGATGGCGGCGCGGGTCTCCGCGCTCGGATCGAATCCCCGGTTCAGCAGGTCCTGGAAGTACATATACCCGGACTCGAAGTTGTCCGCGTCCAGACACATCATCGTCAGGTGCTCGAAGGTGGTCCCGTCGGGGACGACGCCCAGCGCTGCCATCTCGTGCACCACGAACATGCCGGCGTCGCTGTCCCTTGCACGGCGGCACATGCTGAGGAGCATGTTGAAGACGGGCACGTCGGCCTTTTCCGAGCAGAGATCGTACAGTTCGTTGTACAGCGCGACGCCGTCTTCGACTGCGAACGGATCGTGGAGGGTTTTATGCTCGCACAACTCCAGGATCGCCGCGGCGCAGCCGAGGGGCACCTCGAACTTCGCGGCCTTGAGTTTCTTGAGCATGGCCCACGCGTCCTGGGGAGCCGTATCTTTGCGGATCATGTAATCGAGCACGGCCCGCGTGGAGCTTCGTTCCACCGCGATGCCGGCTCTGTGCATCTTGCAGAGAACCTCGAACCCGGCGTAGAGGTCCCCAGACACCACATAGGCTTCCACCATACTTTCGTAGTCCGCAAGAGTGACGGGGATGTCTGACTCGACAAGGAAGCGGATCACAGATGTCCCGAGGGCGACGTCTCCGGTGCGCGCCGCAGCCGCCAGGACCTTGCTGCAAATCTCGTGTGGAGGTTGCAGGTACTGCAGTTCCACCATGCCCCTCCAGATAAACCGTATAGTCTCGTAGTGAGAAGCCTCGCTGGCCACATCCAAGACATACAAGCACAGCTCGGGTGTCATATCGAGATGTTGTTCCGTCCGAGAGCGCATCAACCGGAGCACCTCGTCGAACTCTTGGTATTCACAGAGATAGTAGACGAGCATGTTGAACAGCCAGCTCTCGATGGCCACCCCCTTCCGCTTCATCTGATCGATATGATCCAGAGCCAATTCGAATTGGTGTTCTCGAAGCAGACCAGCCACCACGTAGTGCCATCCCATCGGGCTCAGCGGGAGCCATCGCTCTCGAAGTGTGCGCATTACGTCTTGGCGCAGCATATAGTCGGGATGAACGGCAGATACCTGAGCGTAGCACAAAGACCGTCAGCACGGAATTCAAGACGGGGCCTGCTCGGACTTGTGGGGAAATTTGCCCGGTACATACCTGGAGAGCAGCGTGCAGCGTGCCCGAGTCCGCCGGTATCCCATTTTCCTCCATCTCCGCAAGTAAACTGCGAACCGTTTCTGTGGACCCGCGCATCGCATCAGAATGAGCGAGGACGAGAGCTCTGTAGTGCCGCGTCTGCGGGGGTATCTGGCGGTCGCGGA